AATTTCGGCTTCAGAAAGATTTGGTTGAATGCAGAGAAGGGATTCACACTATTGCCATCTGCTCCAAGACCGGCAAGAAGAACCGTGACAAACATGTCCTTTTGGAAGTATCCGCCGCATTTTTCAACTTGGTCGCGAAGTGTGCAAGCCCTGTTGATATAATCCGAAACGTTCTCGTTGCCCTGCATCTGTACATGTGTAAGTTGTGAGAGAATCTTACTCATGGAAATGGTGTCCTGTGCCATATACAGCCCCTTCAAATGCTTCCATGCAGATTCGGTTGGAGGCAAGCTGGTGTAAAGGGAGCATATACCGAGCTGCTATTTTAGCGAGAGATTGCGGATAAGAGCTGTATAAGCGCTGAGTGAAGCATGAAGAAAACTTTGCTGCTCCATCTGTGTTCCCGTAACAGGATACGAGTAATCGCCACTGAAGAATGGCCATAATCCAGCGGATTTTGCGAAGAGCTTGAACTCGAAACTCCAGGAGTAGAAGTTAGTGCCATTAAAAGGTATTGTTGTCTTGATCTGCGTACTGCTTAAAAGATATGGAGTCTGAAAGACAGATCCAGTAAAAGAAATATGCTGATGCGGAAACTGTTGTTGGTGTTGCGAATGTTGCTACTGTCGCTACTGTTGCTGAAACTGTTGTTGTGCTTGTTGCTGTTGCTGAAGAAATTGAAACTGTTGTTTTTGAGCATGTGTAAGCGCAAACGAAGAAAGGGAGCTTGGAGCGGCTGCAGCTCTTGCATAACTGGAACCATCGATACTCATACCACTGAAGGGCGATGTTACTGATTCTGCTGTTTGTTGCTGTGGTGTTATAGGTGCAGAGGAAGAAGTCCCCGATGGATGCACAATAGGCAAAACTTGCTGCTGTTGAGGCATTCCGATTGAAGAATATGCAGATGGAAAATTTCCAGGTACAGAGTCGTCTGCTTGGCCTGTGAAGACTGTAGGATTTGTAATACCCGTGGGTCCAGTTGTTGAAGAACCAGATGTTGGAGCTGATGATGGTCCAGTCATTTGTAGTTTTGACGATAGTCTTAATTCGACACAGCTCTCATAGGTACCATGAAAGAAATTGTAAAAGGGGTGCAGGAGACTAAGTATAGAATCTGCAGACACAAGTACTTGAAGTAGAAAGTAATACTGGAAGTGCCTCCAGTAACAGTCAGTATTAACAAGTTGTAATACCAGAATCAGTGTTACAGCCTTGTGATACTTAAGCAATGATCTTTGTTGGAATGGTAGACTAGTAAGAGAGCGGAAGTCTTAGAACTTGTAAGTGTTGACCAGAATTTACTCAAGAACAAGTTAATAATTGAAGTCATACAAGCTACTCTTATACCGTAATCCCCCGTATATAACACCCCGGGTGTAGTACAAAATTCGGGCAAAAATGGGGGGGTGGGTGCTCTATTTCGCGTTTACGCTATAGCACCCTGGTGTTATATTTGAGGATATATTTTTTAAGGTTGCATCGTGTTTCTTGTGCAATAAGCTTTCCGACCATGTTTGTTTGGGCTCGAAAGGACCGCAAATATGCGCGATCTGAAGGGTCAAAGTCCGCCTGTGGGTCAAGCCCGTTTTAGAGCGTGTTCTTTCGAGCCTCTTCCCAAGCTATCCTCCTCCCAAAATCGGCCCTTGCCTGAGAGCATGTCCGAAGAACAGTTTTTCCAGCCAGTTCGTTTTAGAATCACGTTCTTTACCGCAATGAATCAGCTCTCGTCAAAATCACACTGTAGAGATTCGCGCATGTCTGAAATTTTGGCACCTGAAACGAGATTTGAAAACACTTGAATCTCGACAATCCCAATCTCTCGTACACCACGCGGAACCGCACCAAACTGTTTCGCGTCAAAATTACGCGACACTGTAGCGCGCGAGTCTGGGAAGAGGTTGGCTGGGAAGAGGCCACACGAGTATGCGACCTGGCATGAAACATCCCTCTCAGGCGTCCCCTCTGTTGTCACACCCAAGCGACGCCCTCCCTCCAACGATACGCCCAACATGTTGCCCACCAATCCCGTGGTGCTCACAGCACAAGCTAGTGTAGAGGAATGCCTAGTGTAGTTGCTAATCTGGCATGTATAGTAGGGCAACTGTAGTGCTAATATTGTACCAGTAGTACTCCGCAAATTGAAAAGTAGGCAAAAAACAATGGGGTGGGTGCTATCCCAGGTTCCTCAAAAGGTGGGTGTATAATTGCAGGTTCGTCAATAGAACACCCACCCCGGATATAACACCAATGGGTGTTTTATTCCGGCGGGTGTTATATCCGGGGGATTACGGTATCTGCTAGAAGTACCTGTTTGGCAATGTATCTGTTCAAAACTATTTGCGCTATGCGCTCTAATCGCTACTGAAAGGAGCGCGACTGTTCGCGTGACTGAAACGGTCCACTGACGTAATCATCCAGACGAGTGCTATTTGCTGACGTAATTCTACGGATACTAAATACAGTGTAACTCGAAAATATCTATCAGAACTACTTACATCAATGCTTACGTACGATTTTATCACAACTGAGATGACTATTGGAGGCATATTTTCCACAAATATAAGCATATTTGTTAGGTTATGGCATCCTAGTCCTGGGGTATTTGTATGTAACAAGTGCTTGCTCACCCAGCCAGCTCTGGATCGATAGAAGGTTCTGGCGTCTGATGTCATATTTCCGAATCTGCTTCCGCCTATCCCGGTAGGTTCCTGCAGGCAAAATCCGCGTTGATACTGTACTGTGTAAAGTGCAAGCTGGAAAGGAGGACTTTTGGGCAATCAAAACAAAATCGCTAGCTTCGAATCACAAATGCTGCTTGCCCTCACGCAGCGTGCCTCAAGTTGCACCTTCTCCCCAGGCTGTCCGCGCATGTCTGTCAGCCTCGCCCGCTTCCCTCCCCCAGCACGAAAGCTTTCCGCCAACAGCCCCATTCGCTCCGCGTGCACCAGGCCTCTCAATAACCTAGGGGTCACCCTGCAGAATCCGAGTTTGCCCGGGATCCAACTCGTCCAGGCTAAAACTTTTGACTGTTTTTGCAGGCCAGAGTTTCGACCAGCTCGGAATGTGCCACTCCTGACAATGACAGGGGGAGCCATTTTTTCTTGGGGTGCGAACTTTTACATTAGATTTTACAGGGTGAGTCCATCCCCTACTCGAAAATCGGCCGTGGGTTGATTTTGGCTTGCCTGTCCATGGACGGGTATCGATATTCTGAATGCGTCAAAATCAGGGCTAGGTTGAAAGTTTACCTTGTTTTCCTTGGCAAAGCAGTGTGATTACCCTGACTTCCAGAGGCCTGGCGTGCACACTGCGACCAGGCTTCTCACTAAGCCCCAAGGTATTCCGGAAGGGGACGGAATTGCCTCTGGATAACCCGTTAACAGACGGAATCCCCCCAAAAAACCGTTTTCAAAAGGAATCGGCCGCTACAAATTCGGCTAGCAATGAATCCAGGAGGAAGGGGGCCGCGCGGGTAAGGGGGCGGGGAAAGAGGGGTGGGAGGTTGGGGGGGGGGGGGGGGGGTTGATGGTGGTGAGGGATTTTCACCCCCTACAGATTGCGCTACTTAAAGTGTAGCCCGTACTTTAAAAAAATTACTCGGTAGGCTAAAGAATAATGGTCCCCGTAAGCTGGACGGATTCGAAGAAAAAAAATGCACCGTAAAAAACCGGAATCGCTGGAAAAGTTTCTTGATTGGGCACAGAGACCGCGGACACCACTTTCCGCGTGTATGCTCGTGCCTTTTCCCCCTTCCTCGGGGGATCCTGTTCCAGACCAAATTGCTGGAGATGTGAAGGGGCTTCGCCCTGATATCAAATCAGCAATCAATCAGCGCGCAGATTTCCGCAAAAATTCCGCCTGCTTTGGAGTTTGTCACCAAGGCGGAGGGGTTGCGCAGAGGGGCACGGTGCACTTCAGCAGGCCACACCTCATCTGCTGCATCCCAGAAGAAACCAAATTTTTCAAAATGGCCACCATGACTCCCAGATTCCGGATCACAGACTTTCTGCAGCGGATTCCTTTGAGGTTAGCCTTAAAAGTACAGTATATTCATTGTACTCTCCCTGCCCTGCGTAGGGAGGATGAGATGAAGTTCGATCCCCGTCCAAATTTCGCATTGTGCCCCACAACAGATTGGGGGGCCTGGTTGCGGGCCTCTCGATAACCTAGGGGTCACCCTACAGAGTCCGAGTTTGCCCGGGGTCCAACTCGTCCAGACAGGGTAGCCCTAAAACTTTTGACTGTTTTTGCAGGCCAGAGTTTCGACCAGCTCGGAATGTGTCACTCCTGACAATGACAGGGGGAGCCATTCTTTCTAGGGGTGCGAACTTTACATTATATTTTACTAGGTGAGTCCATCCCCTACTCGAAAATCGGCCGTGGGATGATTTTGGCTTGCCTGTCCATGGACGGGTATCGATGACTTGACAAATCAGGAGAATTTCCCTGACTTGCAGAGGCCTGCCTGGTTGTGGGGGGTTTGCCGGCCGCTGAAGAGGGCATCAGGCACGAAATCTGTCCTCTGCCCGCACCCGAAGGTTGGGGAAAGGGTGGGCCTGTGTTCAAGTGGTTCGATGCTGTACATACATCCATCTCATTCCACCACACCAAACCTCACCCAAATCAACCCATCTTTTCTTCGGGGGGGTCGGGCAGACACCACGTTGCACGAGGGGGTAAGGACGCGTTGCGCTGTGGTTCGGCGAGTGCGCGGAAGGTAGAGGGTGCAACGCGGATCCCGCGGCGCATTTTATTGGTGGCAAAAGAACGGGAAGGTTTGGTTTGGGTTCAAGCTAGGGGAGGTGGGGGGGGGGGGGTTTCCGCTCCGCCCCGCTCCGCTCCGCACTGAGGTTCAACAATGCGGATGAAGAGAAAGGTGGAGCGTAGGAGAAGCGGAAATGCCTTCACTGTGCACGACCCCCCTTCCCGCCCCTCTATCCAGAAGGCCAAAATTTCGCGCCAGGGCCATAAAGAGCCATGACTGGTTTTCAATGAACAAATAAATAAGCTCAACAATCACTTCAGTCAAGCTTCGCGCAGGATGTATATAGACTAAGCCTGCTTGCGCACGTGCTGGCAGCTTAGCTGTGATCGTTCCCTCCGTTAGCTTGCACTCCTCCTGGATTCTCCACGCCAGAGTTCCGTAGACTATCCAAACGCGTGCCACGCATGTACAAACAACCACCGCGTCACTCCTAGTAGCTTAAATCCTCGCGAAAACTCTTTCCTTCCCCACAGGATTATTAATCAAATTGTGGTAGTAGACATCTAGGTAAATCAAACTCCCCAGCAGCCTGTGGCAGCCATGTCCAAGCACTACCGCGCCTTCCGCAGCTTCCTGCCCACGGCAGCGGCGGTGGGAAAGCGCCTCTCGCGGCGGCAGCCGTCCCAGGAGATCGTCCTAGGCGGAAACATCAGCATCACCATCGACAACACCGTTCCAGAGGCCGCCCCGTCGCTCGCGCGTCTTAATACGCACTCCTTCGCCGCGGCGAGCCCAAAAAGCTCCGCGTTTTCCGCCGCATCAGCCGCCACTTCTCCCGCATTGCCCCCAGCAAACTCTTCCTCTCGTAACTTTTCCTCCTCTTCTTCGCCTCTCCCACCGGCGGCGTCCCATTCCTCCTCGTCCCTCTCTCCGTCGCCCATTTTCCCCTCATCCTCTTCTCTGCCCTTCGCATCTCTTCCGTCCGCCTTTCCTTCTCCTCCTGCCAGTGCAACCGTCATCGCCGCCAGTGGAACCGTCGATCGCAGATTCGCAGAGCCGCTCATGGCTACCGTCCTTCCTGTCTTCGGCGGAGCCGCGGCTTTCCCGGGCCGCCCATCGCCCCTCTCCAGAGGGTTTCCCAGCTCCTGGTCCGATTCTGGCGCCGTAATTCCGGCAGCAATTCCCGCCTCTATTCCCGCCGCTGTTTCCGCCGCGGACGCCGCCGCAGCCCCCAGCCCGCCCGTGCGACGCGGGGTACAGCTCCAGTCTAACTCTGCCGCGCGCGTCGGCAGTTTCAATGTCGAACTCGTGCAGCGTGATTGGACGCAGCAGGCCGCGTGGATGCGGCTGGACGACACAGCGGGGAATTCGCGCAAGGGCGATGACAATGCTGCTGACGCTGAACGTGACCATAACGGGGAAAGGGACAATGATTGCGGGGATGCGGAATGCACGGCGGACGATACGCGGGAAGCATCGACGGGGACGTTCGAGGTGGTTGAACTTGAATTGGGGACGGCCGACAGCAGTGCCGCCGTGAGGATTCGCAATGAAGCAAACGCTGCTCGGTCCTGGAAGGGTCGGCAGCTCCAGCAGCAGGTTCCCCAGCATTTCCTTCCGAAACCCCCACCGGCGCCTGGGACGAATCCTGAATCCGTTCTTAGCGAGGATGAGAACTCCTGCCGGGTCGACAGCACGCAGACGTACCACAGCGTGGGATGGATCGGCAACAGCAAGCGAGAGCGCCACGACGACATGGCAGCTGCGGCCAGCATGCAACACCATCACCACGACAGACGGCACGAGCCGTTATCTGCAGCTCACGCTCCTGATGACACGTGCCGCCCATCGCACGTGAGGCATCATTCGTACCAACAGGACGATAGTGATTCAGCTGGGTGGTTGGTCGACAGAGGTTGCACAGCAGCAGAGTCTTGGGTGAGCGATAGCCGTCTGGACGAGGGGTGGGTGGACAGCGCCCGATCCCGCATCCGCGACGCGGCGCTGCAACTAGTGGAGGCGCAGCAAGCGGCTCTGGAGCACAGCCGAGTGGCGTCGGCCATGGAAGCTGCAATGCTGAAGCGGCAGACGAGCCTGGGGAGGAGCCCTGGGGGTAATGGGAAAGGCGGGAAAGTGAGGAAGAGTATGATGCCCCGGCCTCCCCCTGGCAATGACGTTGACTGTCATGTGAGGTGGAGCTCGCTCAGCAGCCCGGTTCGCAGGCCTTTGGCAGGTGATAAAAGAAGGGGGGTAGGATGTGACAATGTGCGAGGGACTTCTAATGGGGGTAGGGATGACATGGATTTGGTGGCGGGAAGACTGCGTGCTGAGGGCTTAAGGGCGTGGGCTGGGGGAAACTCTCCGTTGGGAAGGGTTGGGATGATGCTTAGGTTAGGGAGTTCCAAATGAGTTGTACAGACTGAGATTCATGTGCATACCGTATTTGACCGGATATAGCACTACGTGGTCTTAAATCGTTTTAGGAGCAATTTAGGGGTGTTGCTTATAACTGAGTAAATTAATAAAAGATACAGGGCTTATAAAATGTAAGGTATATGGAAAAATTGAAGTGTTTTTCTGTTACCCTTCCTGTTTCACATTTCCCTGTCGGCGTTTTCGCATCGAAACTGGATGGCGAACTGGAGGGAAATTGGACTCGATTCCCTGCCAGATGGCACAACCGGATAGGCGTGACCCTCGTTCCTACCTCGCACCACCTGACGCGCTCAGCTCTCCCCACTACATGTTCGCAGTCGCGCAACTCCCTCGTTGCTTGCCTTTTTGTTACGACCTGTATGTCAAACATAACTTATGCAGTTACTGTAGACTAAATGTGTTGGTGCCTTAGTGAGTACAACTCATCAATCTATATTGCCTTTTATCTCACCATTCTAGTCACTATTCATCCTGATATGGTATCATAGCAGGTCAGGTTAGGTCCCCCCCCTAGCCCACCCACGCTTCCGCCCCTAGGCCCTAGCCGTCGTCTTGCCCCGCTCCTAGCCGGCCCCCTGGCCATGGCGCCCGTCCCTAGTCGGCCCCCTGGCCGTTCCCGACGCGCGAGCTTCCAGACTGGCACAGCTTGCTTCGTTGTAGGGTTCAGATTTTTTATATGGATATGGATGAGATTGTTACTGCTCTGCAGATGATGTATGCTGATGACTCTAGTGTGCTTCCGTCTTATTACCACTTGTTGCCTAGTGTAGGTGTGCCTTGCTTAGCCTCCCCTGCTGCGTCAGGCGTAGGATCCCCTGCTTTGTTTAGCCTTGGTGCTTCCATCGCTGCTTCGCCTCCGGCCGCCACTGCCGCACTCACGTCCACCCTCGACTCTGGCGCTTCCCGGTGCTTCTTCCGCGACTCCACCACGTTGACACCGCTTCCTATCCCTGCCGCGGTCTCTTTTGCTGACCCCTCCTCCGGCCCTGTAGTCGCCTGCAGTTCCACCACCCTCCCCTCCCCACCTTGCACGCCATGTGTCGAGGGCTGGCTCCGCCACGCCCCTCACTCCTCCTCGTTTCCCCCTACCGCAGCACCGCTACAGACTCCGCACATGGACGTCTGGGGCCCCGCCCCTGTCCATGGGCCGCGTCGAGAGCGCTACTTCCTAGTGCTTGTCGACGACTACACGCGCTACACCACGTATTTTCCCCTGGAGCGGAAGGCCGACATGCCTGATGTTCTCATCCAGTGGCTTGTCTTTGCGGGTGTCCACCGCGGTCTCCTAGTCTTGCGTCTCCACTCCGACCATGGTGGCGAGTTTGCCTCTAGTGTCCTTGGTCGTTTCTATCGTGCGGAGGGCATCACCCAGACGTTCACCTTGCCGGAATCCCCGCAACAGAATGGGGTCGCTGAGCGACGCATCGGTTTGGTCATGGAGGTGGCTCGCACCTTCATGATCCATGCCGGTGCACCCCATTTTCTGTGGCCGTTCGCCGTTCGCTACGCCGCTCTCCAGCTTAACCTGTGGCCGCACCTCCAGCAGCCTCAGGTTTCGCCGACCCTTCTTTGGTCTAGGTCACCTGGTGACGCGTCTGCATTTCGCGTCTGGGGCTGCCTTGCTCACGTTCGTGCCTCTGCCACGGACAAGCTCACTGCCCGCACCCTGCCCTGTGTCTTCCTCGGCTTCCCCCTTGACGTGTCTGACTAGCACTTCTACCACCCGCCGTCTCACCTGTTCTTTCATTCCCGCGACGTCAGCTTTGACGAGTCCGTCTCCTTCTTCCGCCGCTTCCCCAACCGAGGTCCCCCGGTTACCCCCCCCCTGTTCCTGGTCACCCCTTCCCCGGTCGTCGCCGCCCCTCCTCCTCCCCCTTCCCGTCTTGCCCCCTTTGGTGTGTCCCACGTCAGCCCACTTCCATCGGTTGTCCCGGTTGAGGAGTTTGCTGACTCTGGTGGTCCTACGGCACAGTCCTTGCCGCCTGCCCCTTCTCAGGTGTCTCCTCCTCCGCCGCCTCCGCAGCCGCCGTCGCCACCGCTGTCGCAGTCGTCGTCCCCGCCACCACAGTTCGTTGCCTCTGGGGGTGCTGGAGTTGGGGTGGGTTCTAGTCCTGGGACTCCTGTCGTGGCTTGTCCCGGCGGGCCTGGGGGTGGTACCGGTGCTCGAGGGGTTTTGAGCTCTGGGCGTGTTTCTTCCGGGGGTGCTGGCCTGGAGTGTTCTGGAGGTCGCCGCCAGGCAGTCCCCGCCGGTTCCGGTGTTGGTGTCACACCGCCGCCGCAGCAGTCCCCGCTGGTGTCCGCTCTTCGCCTGCTCGGCCTTCCGTCCCCTGACCCCGTGCCTGTGCCTCCTCCTATCTACGGCCCTATTTTCCCTCCTCCGGACTCGTCTCTGGCTCGTTTCCCCCCTCGTTCCCCACTTGTGTCCCCTCCTTTGTCTCCTGACCCGACTCCTCCATCTCACGTCTAGTCTCGCCGTCCCTCCCGTGCTCGACCTTTCTTCCCTGTCTCGCACTCTCACCCTATGTTGCTACGTTCCCACGAGTCTCGTCCTCCCCTTCTCCCGTCGCCCCCTCCGTCCTCCCTTTTCATTGCTCCCCCCCCTCTGTCTGACTACCTGCGTGCCGCTCATCCTCTTGTTCCTCAGGTCCTTGCCTCTCTCGTTACCGACCCGTCTGTTCCGGTTCCGAGTCTTGACGCCCTTGTAGCTGCGGTGGCTGACTTCGCCTCTACCTACCGCCTTGACTATGCCACCGCTTTGGTCTCTGACCCTGCTTGTCCTCCGTCTGTCGGGGGTGCTCCTGCCCTTAGCAGTGACGTACTGGAGGACCGCTAGTACGAGCTTGCCTTCCTGTCCCAGGCTGCTCCCCATCTCTCCTCTATGCTTCTAGTCCCTGAGGGTGACCCCGACGCTTTCGACATCCCGACCCCTCGCACTTACGCTGAGGCGGTCTCGGGACCCTGGGCCTCTCAGTGGATAGCTGCCATGGAGCAGGAGATGGCATCTTGGAGATCCACCGGCACCTACTCGCAGGGCTACTGCTTCAGCCTTGGTTCAGGTGCCGTCTCGTGGAGAGCTTCCCGCTCCTCGTCTGTTGCCTAGTCCAGCTGGGAGGCCGAGATCTACGCCGGTGCCATGGCGGTACAGGAGCTCCGCTGGCTGACCTTCTTGCTCACTGACTTAGGTGAGCGGCCTAGCTCCGCCCCGGTCCTGTACGCTGACAACAGGGCCATGATCCTCCTGTGTCAGGAGCCTCGACTCGAGGGCAGAGCGAAGCACATCCAGCTGCGGTACTTCCTCCTGCGTGAGCTCCAGCAGCGCCGCCAGGCGCGCGTAGTACACTTGGGCTCCGGTGCCAACACAGCTGATATCTGTACGAAGGCGCTTGCACCTAAAGATCATCAGCGGCACTGCGTACAGCTAGGTTTCGTTCCTGTACCCTCTCACTTGCTAGGGCCTTGACTTTGTACTGTCCTTTATATATATATTTTACCCTGACTGGCCTTGTGGCCTCTCCCAGTGGCTAGACTAGTAGTGCCGCCCTGGTCTTGTTCTTGCCTTGTATGTACTCCTTGTGACTGGTCTTTAGACCCTTGTCTCAGAGGCTGGACTAGTAGTGCCGCCCTGAGCTACTTCTTCCCTTGTTAGGCACTGCCCCTATATAGTCTAAGGGGTGTGTCAAACATAACTTTTGCAGTTACTGTAGACTTTATATGTTTGTGCCTTAGTGAGTACAACTCACCAATCTATATTGTCTTATATCTCACCATTCTAGTCAATATTCATTCTGATACTGTAAACTTGTATCGAAAGTAGACTTACTTGTCAAACATATTTGTGTATGTTTAGTAGACTATATAGGTGTCAACTTATACTCTTCATACATAGAAATTATAGGCTTGATAGGATTAGTTTCTTAGAGAGTACGTCCCAACTCTATATCTTCCTTGTACTCTCTTGTTTAATCATCCTTTCTAGTTTCTAACATGGCATCACGAGTAGGTAGGTCCACCCACACGCTTCCGCCCCGTGCCCTAGCCTACTGCGCCTCGCTAGACCTAGCCGGCCCCTCGCGCGCCCGTACTGGCCCCTCGCGCCCCTACTGGCTCCGCGCGCCCCAAACAGCCCCTCGCGCCCCTATTGGCCCCTCGTGCCCCTACTGGCCCCGCGCGCCCCTACCGGCCCCTAGCGCCCCTACGGCCCCATGCGACCCTATGGCCCCTCGCGCCCTTACAGCCCCGCGCGCCCCTACCGGCCCCTCACGCCCCTACTGGCCCCTGCGCGCCCCTACCGGCCCCTTGCGCCCCTACTAGCCCCGCGTGCCCCTACTGGCCCCTCGCGCCCCTAGTCGGCCCCTCGCGCCCCCAGCCGGCCCCTCGCGCCCCTACGGCCCCTCGCGCCCCTACCGGCCCACTGCGCCCCTACGGCTTCTCGCGCCCCTACCGGCCGCTTGTGCCTCCACCGGCCCCTTCTTGTGCCCGCGCTGGCCCCTCGCGTTCCCGCTCGCCCCTGCTGGAGCACCCGTCCGCCGAGCCGCGGAGCTGCCCTACCGCCGAGCCGCCGAGCAGCTGTACCGCCGAGTCGCCGAGCTGCCGTGACCCCAAGCGGCTGTGCCACCGAGCCGCCGAGTCGCTGCGCCGCCGAGCCGCTGTGCCGCTGTTCCACTGTGCGATGGCAGACGCCGTTCGTCGCTTGGACGCTGAGGGGTGGCGACTGACTTCGCCGCCTGGCTCGTCGACCTTCGCCGACACCTGACAGGTCAGCGCCAGGATGGGCACTCCCTGGCTATGCATGTTGATGGCTTGCTCCCCCGCCCCCCTGCGCCTTATCCCCTCTCTGCTGACCCTACCACTGCAGAGAGTGAGGCCTTTGCTGCTGCTGCGCTCGCTCGCATTGTCTGGGATTCTCGTGAATCTGTAACGCAGCTTGCCATTAGCCATGCCCTCCCCCTGTCTAAGCGTCCATGCTTCACCACTGTCGCGAACGCTAAAGACTTTCTCACTGCAGTAGTTGAGCGTTACTCCACACCTTCTTCCGCCTATGCTGGCCGCTTGATCCTACCCATTCTCCCTGATCTTTCCACTTTCCCCACGGTAGCTGACCTCGCTACTCACCTCCGTGCATTAGAGACCA